TAAGATAATTGACTTCCCTCACACAACTCTGACGATGCCACCCAGCAAACTCTGAAGGATTCCCACATAAATCACTACACCATCTAGCCATAACTTACCAAGGTTAGGTCACCCCTAGCTCTCATGCCGTTTTTTGTTAAAAATAAACTGTTCCAAAAATAGTGTTACTTGGTTGCTACCATGTACAGATAAGTGGAAAGCTGGCTAAAGAAGTGGGAGTCGGTAACAAGGAGGGGACTGAAAGTCAAGCTTTGCCCATCACCGGTGTACGTGCTAATTGTCCAAGTTTTTGAAAGGGGTCGTTGTTGCCAAGTCAAAGTCAGTGGAAGCACTGCTGCAGGTGGCCCTGCCAAGCTGGCTTCTGAGCAAAGAAAACGGACTTCGAGCTTCACTTGCTGCTGCTTCTAGGCGTAGGTTCCCCCGGTGATGAGCAGCTCGTAGGCAGGATCCCGACTCCTCCTGCAGAGGACGATGCAGGCGCAGAGCATGCCCAGCAGCTACGAGGAGGAAGAGAAGGAAACTGAGTACCGACCAGCATGATTTATCCCAAGAAGTGGCTTTTGGTAAGCCGACTGGGGATGTGCACATGCAGATTCCAATCCACTTTGCTTCAGGACACAGGCTCTACCCTTGATTGTTCTGCAGCACAGAAATACTTTCTACCCTGCAGAACAAGCCCCCTTAAAAATAATCCTGAGTTTATTCTTTGTTTTCACTGTAAAGAGGGTGATGTGCTTTTTTCCCCCTGCTTGTCTCTGCTCTTCCAAGGTTGTCTTGCTTTACAATAGCTCACTTTAGAAGTTAGCTCAGCCAGGAATCTTGGTTGAGCTGCTGGGAGCCAAAGAGGCAAGGGAGGCTACCAAGAGTCCCCTGTGCAATTTCTGCTTCGGCATTTCGTGGCAATAGTGTAAGAGTTTGCAGCTGTGATGAATGGGGGGTGGTGGTGGTGAGTGGGGATGGACCAGTAAACTTTGATCCCGTCCATGGCAGGAAAAACATATTCAGCACAGCCTGGGTAAAACCACAGCTCTCTCTCGCTGAAGAATCCAAAAACACAAGACTCTTAACTTACTTCAAGCTGAACTGATGCGCTTTCTGTGGATCTGGGCCCAGAACTGACACCCCAAACAATACAAAACATTTTGTCACAATTTTCCCCAACTAAAGAGCTCCAATTCCTTGCCAGACTTTTAAAAAACATGAATGTCATTTTGAATGCTTCAGGCCAGTCTGACCCCTAAAGGGAACTAATGGTGCACTGAAAGCAGAGGCCAGAACAACAAAAACTAGGGTAAGTTCCAATTCTAAATCAGTTCAATGTAATCGCTAATTTATGGTGCTGCCTTCCAGTATGGACTATTCACAAGAGCAGACAGACTTGAGCCAAATTAAATTGCAAGCTATGGGATCTTTAATTTTTTTAACCCTCTTCATACTTTAAGGAACAAATAACCATTTCCTTCAAAAAGAAGTGACGCATTTCCCATAAGAAGGAAGATCTTTTCAGCTCCTAGAGGTGTGTAATCATTAACGGGGGAAGCTGTAAAATGGCAAAGTATCTGAAATCACTTGAGTCAATATGTCCTGGCCCTTGTGTGCTTTGTGTCCAATACACTATTTACACAGACCTTGAGGAAACACATGTGAGCTATTAATTCTGGAAATGACCCCATTTTACAAGGACGCAACTGCATTTTTTTGTGCTCCAAAGCTGTAAACGCCAATAAAACATTCATAGGTGGAACTGCCTTAATTACAGCAGCTTGTCAAGGGGCATTTTTGTGTCCAAGCGGAGAACATGAGAAGAGTTTTATTTTCATCTCTACAGTAGAAACCAGAGCGTGCCTGCATCGGTATACTGAATCCTACCTGGATAGCAGCAAATGCCAAGGCTGCCCAGATAACGTACATCATGATCTCCTGGAGCTTCTTGACCACCAACACTTTACATCCCTGAAAAGCAAACAAGTCCATTTGTCGAGTACATCATTTCTCAAGCTTGTTAATGCTGCATTCCGGAACAGCTACAATCCCCCAACGTGTTGATGATATCCACGTAATGCATGTCCTACGAGTCTCTGGAGAACTGCTGCTCCCTGCCTGCATCCTATGGCCACATATACTCTGCTCAAGTGAATGGTACCTTTGGCTCTTTAGTGTGCACCTGAAGAGCAGAAGCTGAGCCCCTGGTCTTTCAGCAGCTGCTGACAAGATGGGAGATCCAGCCAGCCTGTTTCAAAGCAGCTCTCACCCTCTGCAACCTTTCTGCTTTCTTCTCCCACATCCTCAGAGGGTGCTACGAGTAGTACTGGCTGATCCATATTGGAAAACTGAGATTTTATCGTGTTTTTCATATGTATGAGGGCAGAAGTAGTAGTTGTTTCTAACTAACCATGGTAAAGGTAAATAAAAACATACAATATAAATAATATCAAGTGATAGACACTCAGTATCAGCAGTAAAATACAATAATCAAGGTAAGACATTTCCTAATACAATATAATAATTGATAAAAAACAAATTTAATACTACTACTGCCATAATACGCACACACACACATATAACATGTATGAAAGATAACATGCAGTATATTATAAAATGGCTGGAATACTAGTGGAACGGCAGGGACAACAGAGTGCAAAACCAGCACTGAATGCCACCTCTTATAAAGAGTGTACAAATGTCTGAATTCTCCAAGGTGGGAAAAAAAAAATATTTTGGAAACTAATTCCCCTAAAAGGAGGAAGCACATCAGGCCAGAGAGGGGGAATGTCCAAACCATACACAAATGACAATGTGAATTCTCATTAAACACCAGGCCCTTAATTACCAGAGCTGCAAGCTAGGGTGGTATAGTTAACACGCTAGATTTAAATGAAGATTTGGACTTGAAGCTGGCTGATCTTGCACAAACCCTTAGTCTCAATCTAACCCAGTGCGTAAGCCTTTACAGAAAATGTGGCAAAATGAATAAAAGACAGTAACCTCAGAATAAAGGTCTGTGGGACGAGTTAAGCTTCCTGTGCAATTGCTGATGGTGGCTTTGCAACAGCTGAGGGGCACACTGTGGTTTTTCGTTTCTTTGAACCAGGTTGTTGATTCCCAGTCTGTGTAGTTGTGGATCCCACAGCAGTGCAGCTGCAACAGAAGACATTCAGTGAATCAAGACCAGGCACAACATTTATCTAGCGTCAGTACCAAGATTACCCCAAATATCCCTTTGAGGGTGAATTTGCTTTAGAAGAGAAAAAACATTCTAATTATTACTCTTCTCCATTTCCTGCCTCGCTGAATGAGGAATCCAAGTTAATTTGTGAGAACAAAAATGCCTTCTGGATTTTTATATACCATCCCTGAGCTTGTCTATATCATTGCAGAATGCACCAAAGGCAGCTGTGCCAAGCAGAACTGGTTCTGTGCTATCTGATCTGAAGGAAGAACCTTCCAGAAAAATCAGATCCAGGTTAGAACTGTCAGAAGGATTTGGCCATGGTTTGATGCATGCTGAAAGGCTGTCTGGGAACAGGCTGTTACTTTTACTTTCTGCCTCTCTTCCCCTACACACAAGGGTTTCAAGTAGAACAGGTCTACCATCTATTCACAGGGAACAATTCATCCCCACAGAATGTTTGGAGGAAGGATGACAGCATATCTTTTATTTTCAATCATCATCTAATTCTGTCCTACCACATGGCACTCTCCCTTTTCAAAATGATTCATTTTAACTGTTGAACACAACAGAGGCTAGTTTCAAAACATATGCAGTCATCTCGTCTGGAAAACGTCAGATTTCTTCCCCAGCAGCATTTCTACAAAGTCTCCCCTTTCCCCAGAGGTTGTTCTCCAATCCGTTTGAGGAATCGGCACATTGCAAGGCTTGTTTCACCATTTTTTCCCTCAGGAGGTTCTTGCCTCTTCATGTACCTTCAAACAAGCAGGATTTTCCTTGAGGGGAAGGAGAGCATACTCTAGCCCCCAGCAATTTTGAAGGATGATTTAAAAATGTATAAAATCAAATTACACCAGAAATAAGATTAAAAATAAAATATCTTAAGATATACATTGTTTAATAAATGAAAGGAATCACATGTAAGCAGTAGGTGTGATACACATTTTCAGTACAGATAATCCTTGCTTAGCAACCACAATTGGGACTGGCAACTCCATCGCTAAGCGTCGTGGTCGCTATGCAGAAAATCACTTGACTGCTACAGGCTCCCATTACCATTCAGTCGTTAAGCAAATCACTGTGGTTGTTAAGCGAGACATCACATGACCGCAACTTGTAATTTTACTTCTGCATTCCCCATTAATGGCTTGTGGCACAGTCAGGAAGCATGAGAATGGTGATCATGTGACCACAGGATGCTGTGATGGTCATAAATATGAGGATTGGTCGCAAAGCTGCTTTTTTTAAAACACCATCTTAACTTCAAACAGTCATTAAACAAGGCATTCCGTAAGCAAGGACTACCTGTATCAGTACATGCAGCATAATCTGGTTTCCAGCCCCCAAAACTATGCCCAATTCCCACTAAGATCTGGGCTTGGGCCATGCTGCTTCCAACTACAGTGGAAGAGGAGGTGTTTTATGGGTGAAACAACCCTCAACAAAGAAAGAGACATCAGCAAGAAGCATCAAGAGAGCTTCCTTATACCGTACAGTGGCTGTGTTGTCATTAGAAGGGCCTGCACATATAGAAACCAGCTTTTGTACATTTGGCACCACAGGTACATTTGATTTAAAATCTCACCTGCCTCTGCACATAATCAATTGCACGACTTGCAGCATCCGGGTTTGTCCCATTGTACGTGTCATACACTTTCTTAATGCTGTGATCAACTTCGGCCTCCACCTGTTAGAACAAACACAGATGAAGATCTATCTCTGTTGACAGAAGAAGCGGAACAGTAGCCTGCCGACCAAACTGACCAAGTGACATGCAGAAATGCTTTATATGTGGTTGGCTCTATAATGCTTCTTGAGTGCTCTAGTTTGTCTTCTTGAAATTTTCCTGGCAAATTCTGTGTTCTGTGTCCCACAATTCTAGAGGGACAAATGAATTGAATGCTGGGGATTTCCTCCTAGTGAGGCTTGTTGGCAAAGTCTTTATGTTCCCAGACACTGTTAAAAGTAGCAAAGTTCCTGGAGATCTACTTCAGAGCGTTTTCTGCAGGACTTCAAGACCTTTAAAAAAGGGAAGGAAAATCTCTGTCTGTAATCCTCATCTAAAGCATTCAACCTCTTTGTTTACTACATTATTTTTTATTTCTTTAACATTTTGATTACTTCTGAAGAAGCATGCCACTTTTAATTTAATCCAGTATCTTCCTACTATTTTGCTTAATAGAACCACAACTTGTATCAAACCTTGAAGAAAGCTATCAGAGCTACTTAGGTATCCATTTCAGCACTTCAGAACAGAGGTGATTACCTTTGCTCTGTAGATATAACCCAGAACAACGACTACCACTTCCGTGATGAAAACCAATAGAAGGATGATCACAAACTGGAAGAGAGAAATAAGTTCATGTTCTTTCACAAGAATAACAGGATACTAATTTTCAGTCAACAATGAATATATCCGCATGATTGTTAGTGCCTGAATTCATTAATAATCTAAGGAAACAAGATCAACATGTTAAATTAAGATTCAGGGAAGAACGATGTGCCAACCATTCTATAGTAATTCGAGCTAACTTGATCAAAATAAGGGTACATTACAACCAAACTTTAGACTTTTTCTTAATCTAAATGATTCTAATATTTACACACAATCAGCGTTGTTTGTCCTTTCCTTGTTTGTCCTTTCCTTTCGGACTAAAAGTGGTAGCTGAATTTCAACCTCTCAAATAAAAAGCAAACTGCTTTGAAGGAGGAACACTTGCTTTATATTAAATGCTTAACGTAACTAACTTGCATCATAAACTTTTTACAGAGGATAAAAAAACACAAGTTTTCCTGCTGCATGATTTTAAGGAACGAAGCTTAATGCTTCAAGAATGCTGCCACTTCAAGTTCTATACAAGGATGTACAGAGTCTTTGGGGGCTGGGCAGCATACAAATTTAACAAATTTAATAAATAAATAAACGCTCCTGTGTCTTGTATTTAGATGAAAGCAGACACTGAATTCACTCCACAGCCCCCAACTGAAACTAACTTCATCACAGGTGATTTATATGCAACAGTGTTACTTTAAGTTCAATCATTCTCACAATGCATGTTGTCATAGTTGTAGCTGAGAAAGAAATGTTTGCAAACTGAAACTCAATGATGCAGCTATCTGTAACAAAAATACACTAAGCAACTTCACTTCTAGTACATGGGGATTTCAGAGGAGCTATAAGCCAAGGATACAGTCTAGCTTCTGCCAAATGCAAATAATCCATGAACCAGATCTAGGCACGGATATTTTGGCTGTGGGCCGACTCCCTTCAGGTGGGGGACAAAAGCAGACTCTCTAGCTGAACCATATTCTTCAACTTAAAATGACACAGCAACAGCAAGCTATAGTAATACCAACTAGGAAGTCAACTATCATATGGACAGGATGGGGAAGAAGAAACAGGGACTTATGGGACTGCTTTTAGTTATCAGGAGGCCAGCATGACAACGTAAGAAGCTAAACTGCTCACCATGTTCTTAATTGTCAACTGTCTGCCCAATTTCCTCCCGTGTTTTTGTTTCTGTGATTTCAACATGACCAAGCCACTGTCTGCAAGTCTCCTTTATAGTGCCAAGGTCTTAAGGTATTTGAAGGTGTTTATATATTAACCATCTAAAGAACTGATAAAAACAACCAAGTTCCTTGTTTTGCGGCTAAAGGATTTTTAAAAAGTTCACACTGTTTAAAGGCTGTTTTATTGTTCATATCACAAGAAAAACATAAAAGGCTGACTACCTTGTAAGATGGCAGAACAGCTCAGGACTGGCTACATTAATCTACCATGGCTCTCTTGCATTTCAGAGTTTGTTTTCTTCCCCCCTAAACTAGAGATGCCTGAATGGAACCTGATATGCCTTGTAGGCAGGCTGATGCTTTACCCATGAATAAGGTGTTCAATGTCAAATACAGCATTCTGCTGCTTTAACCAAGTTACAGTAAGCTACAGGAGCTGATGTTGCATATTCCAAACACGTCAAGCAAAAGTATACAAAGTTGGTTGAGGATCCAGAAAATATGGTTAAGCCCGTAAAACAGGAAATTGTTTCCCAATATTAAGCTTACCGTGGCGAGACCACAGCGGCTTTCCCGGATTGTGGCACAGCAGCCAATCAGACCAATGATAAAGAGAAGTGTCCCCACTGCTATGATGACCACTGCGGGGATGAGCGTATAAACATCTTCAAAGAAGTGATCGTAGTCATCGTATGTGATAAACACGTAAGCTCCCACATAGCACAGAATGCCTGCAGCTGCCTATAAAACAAAACATAAAAAAAAGAAAAGCGACTCAGAAGATGTTCCTTCATATACCATAAAGACTGTCCCTTATTTTGTAAGTTAAAATTTGGGAGAGGGGGATTTGGGGGAGGAGGATTTTTCTGTTATTCCATGTTTTGTAATTCACATTATGCAATTCCATAGATGGAAGCACAACCTGCTTAAAGTTACAAGCGAATGGTTAAACATGACAGCAACTACGGCCTATCATTTGGATCTGTATGAGAACGCCACTGATACTCCTGAATTTAATTTTTTATTCAATATTAGTGGAAATAAGGACTGGCAACGTAAGTGTTACTACCCTAACTACTGAGGAGAATATTTTCAAACATCAATTGACCCCTTTTTTCTCTCTGTCTTTTACTGCAGCTAAGACAGGACCAGACTTAAAATTCATGCCACTCATTTCAAAGTATGTTCAGAGGGAAACCTTTTTCTGTCCTGGGAAGGAATTAAAAGCACATGGCAACAGTCAAGAAGCTCTATTTGCAGAAAAGCATAACAAGGCAGGAACACTTCATTTCCCTACACTGTAGAGAAGCTCTATCAACTTATGATTATGGGTTAAATCACACCACCTACGTTGTCAAAATTCTTATCAACAGATCAGAAAGAATGCAGAGACTTGTACAAGCTTGCATGCAAGTAGTCCCACGGTCACATCCCGGACTAGGTTGGAAAAGACTGCCAGTTAAGCCTTAGAACTGTTGCCAATTAGACGTTATTCAGATGGAGGAAGCAGTTCACACACACTATGCCACAAATGAATCATGGTTTATTGAACAAATCACCACTAACTGGCACTAATATTATATCATAAACCACTGTTTACAAGCTATAATCACTAAGTTCACACAACACAATACTGTTAGCCAGACTGAAAAGCCAAGCCAACCACGTGTCTTAGTGTTCTGCGTGAGCCAACCAAGGTACAGAAGGTTCGGATATGTGGTGTCTAAGCAAGGACTAGTAAGATCCAAGATTAATTCAGCAATGATTCATCAGTCATGCATGAATCAGTTGTTGGGGCTTTTAATCTCCCCGTTTATTTATAGTATTGTGACAGTAACATAAATGGAAAGGACTCATTCCCATGAGCACCAATCAGTACAGCCAGTGGTTTTTCTACACTGTCAACTAAGAGAAGGAATTCAAATTTTTAGGGTGCAACATTTTAATAAGAACTTTTGGAGTTGAGAGCCATCCAAGAAGAGATGGGGAATACTATAATTATTAACTGTTGCCTAGCAATGGAGCATGAAAATAGCTTGTTAATGATATCATCTCCCTCACCATTCAAGATGCTTGTTGGTGAGAAACAAAGGAAAGCCCAAAAAGGTTCTTGAGCAGTCTCCTTCCTCTCTTCCTTCTGTACTTTAATAACATATCTGCATTTTTTGCTATCACAGAGAAGGTCATGCTCAGATTATCAGGTATTAATTTATTTAGGCACTAATTTATTAGAATTCATTAGAAGAAAAATTAATTCTAATCAATTTATTGTACACCATTATATAAATCAATAAACATTTAACAAAAAATTATCTTGTTCAGATCAACTAAAAAAGACATAGCATCTGTGACTTTGCATAATTGCAGTACTGCAATCAGGAGCATCCTATGCAGGCTTTTGTTTCTAACAATTATATACAGATTACATTTTTCCTGTTTTTACAGCTAAGCATAATGTATTCTGCTCATGGCATCTCCTACTTCTGTATCTCTGAACTACTAGAGAGTGTATTTGACAATTTTTATGTCTTTTCTGATAAACTAATTAAAAACATCCTCCCTAAGATGAATTCTTCTGGACATGACCAAAGGCCTAGCCAGATCAGTGTTTGGTTTTCCTTACAGTGGCTGACCAGAGTCTCTGGAAAGCCAACATGCAAGACTTTCTTCCACTGTCTCTCTCAGCAACCGGTGTTCCAAAATGCAACATTTTTGACCATCAGGACTGGAAAAGAGGATAGAAATTATCAACATCAGTCAGAATAGTTATCAATTACAAATGTATTTCGCTTTAGAAAGCCCCACTCTGTTAAGGGCTGAGATAAAGTACCTCCAATGCATGGCAATGGAAGGGTAGAGCAAAAGAAAAGAGAAAGGTATGCAGAGAGAGAATCCCAACAATGCCCTTATTCTCTGCTATTCTCCATCACGCAGTTTTGTAATCTGAACTGAATCTTCAGCACTACCAAGTTCCTGGATTGTTCAAAAGCAAAGGAGCACCTTCCAAGATGGTTATGCAATTCAAAACTGCTATGAAAAAGTATCCAGGGAAATGCCTAGATCAACACATTTACTGATGCATTTCAAGTAACTATGGCCCATTGTTCCCAATGAAGGACTCTCCAAAATCACGTTCAAATTACATTTGGTGAGAACATTAGTAGCAGTTCTCAAGTTTCTATCTAGTAATAATTCATGGGTTCAGAGCCCAATGAAACATGTCTAATTCTGTTCATCTATGCAGCTATAGGCTTTAGTCTCATGGTGAAACTGCAATAGAGATGAGCTACGTATATGTGTGGCAGTATTAATATGTTTATTTTTCTAGAAAACAGCAACTCAAGGTGGCTCAGGTATAGTTTCTACAACCTGATTCAAATTTGCTACACGCTATATGAAAATTACCTTCGTCATACTGTTAAACATACGTTCAAATAAAATAAAATCTTAAGCACGTTGACTGATGAAAAGCTAGGAGGGAACATGTTCCTTTTATGAAACGAACAGGCCACTCAAATCTATTTGTTAATACAAAGAGTCCTACTGAATCAAGACTAGTGAGGTTTTCTCACAGCAGTCGACCAAGAGACTCAGCTACTTCCCACCCCCCAACAAGACAGGAAGCAACAGCTCTCTGCTTGGCCACACCAGCAACTGATAATTCAACATCATATGGGCTCTTGTGACTAACAGCTGCTAACAGACCTATCTGTGCTCAATTTCATTAATCTCCTTTTACAGTTATTACATGTTTCTATTACATTTACAGGATTGTACAGCCAATCCATCAAAGAATAATAAATAATAAAGATTCCAGCAGGGAAGCTCTGTAAGGCTTGTGGCACCTTAAAGTCTTGCAATTTATTATTACATAAGTTTCCATAGGTCACAGTCCACTTAGATGCAAAGAAAGATGAGAAAGAATCTGTGCATCTTATAATACATTATTCCTTTATTTCCTTTTACCACATTTTGGCACAGTGACTTCTGTAAATCAAGTGATGTGAATCTTTATGTTTTCAATCTTTGCCAATCAATTTCTCTAGATATGTCTTAGTTCTCTTATTTCCTCAACTTAAAATAAAAGCAGATGAACTGTAATAGCTGAGTGACTCTACAAGTACTATATTTTCATTCTAAAGGCTAGTTCTCATACAAACATTTTGGCAAGCTATGTGAAAAATTAGCAGCAGTCATTAGCTTGAAATATACCACATAATTCACTTCAGGAATACTATAGTCACAGAAAATGAACTTAGAAAAATGCCCTGGCTATTTTTTTCCAGTACATAAACTACTCTGTGAAGAAAAATCTATATTCTATGCCACTGTCTTTTTAACGTACCATTTAGTACCTTCAGACTGATTTAAGATGGTTTAAAAGTACTTTCTGCTCACTGCCTTATTTTTGCATTCCACTGTAGTTTTTAAAATACAAGTAGCCTTGTTTTAAATTTATTAGTATTTAAGCATTTGTTCAACACATGAAATTTCATCTTGCTTACGTCAATTCTATTCAAAATTGCCTTCATGTTCTAAAAACAAAAATCAGAACAAATCAGAAAATCACATGCATTTCCACATACAGTAATTGCTGAGTCTGCAGTTACATTTCTGTTTTTGCAAAGCACACAAATCTTATTCATAAGATTTATCAAGAAGTCCAAAATTACACAATCATACAAAATATGTTTAGGTATTTTATAATACTATCTTAAAACCTCAACATCTCCAGAGATGACTCTTTTAACACATAATTGTGCTGGAAACTCTGCAGACACTTCTACTTCCTAGAGAACTTGGCCAGACTCTCAAGTGTGTGTGCTCTGCCACAAAGGAAAGTGATATCTAAAGCAGGTTTAACTGCCTTTATCTGAATGCAGTATCTCCTTTAAATGCAGTTTAAAAATGTGCTTCCATACATCGATCACTACTATAGTCCACATTATGTGAAAGAGACCTCCCAGTTAAAAAAATTCATTCAGACTAATCTTACATAAATGTATCATCAGTAATCAGTAGCAGTGACGATGCTGAAATAGAAGTAAGGGGACACAGTTTCAATGTCACCTTCAGTCATGGAAGGCCCTGGCTAACTTTAGACCAGTCACTTTCACTCAGCCCAATTTACTTCACAGGGTTCTTGTTACAGGCAAAATGGAGGAAGAGGTGCTCTGCAGGCCATCTTGAGCTCTGAAGATAAGATGGGATAGGAACCCGACAAATAAATATAATTAAGAGCCTCATGAACATTAAAGTGAGCAAGCTGCCAGAGCTTTCCAATTCTTTCATAGCATTTCAAACGTGCAGTCAAAAAAACAGAAGATCAACCAGGTCTTTACCCAATATTTACATGTATCAAAACAAGAAAAACCTGTTAAGAGATGTATCTATGGGAAAATCACTCAACACTGAAAAAGTTGGACAGTAGCAACAAACTTTTTTTAAAAAAGAAGTATTACTCACAGCAATATTATTTTTGTTTTCATAGTGTTAAGGCACCCTTTGCCCTTTTCTAATGCCTATTTTAAAATAGCTGGGACAATGAATCTATAATGACAGGAACTTAAATTCCAGCTCATCAGGTCCACAAGCTTGTACTGTGAATACTATCATGTTTTGAAACTATATTATTTCATGCAATCAGGTCTTACTGATCCCATGTTCATAGTATGCTGTTCTTCTATTCTACTATCCAGATTAACTACACTGTTCTCTACTAACATACTTGTACCATTTTAATATGTGTAATAGCAAATGCAGAAAATTTGGACTGTAACAGCTTTATTGAAATATCAAGGAAAAAACTGAAATTT